AACTCGATGCAGTGATGATTTGTAAATATAGAGTTTGAGCCAAAAGGTCATAAGTGCGCTGTTTCGCATATTACAGATATGTAAATCTGTAATTTGTGAAACGAGCTCTTTGAAGACTCTAACGATATGTAATTTTTTTTCCGATTTTATAACACTTATCGTAGATATTTTATTTTTTTTTTATTATTTTTTTGATTTAATGATTTGTACCAAGTACTGGAGCAGAAGCAGTAGGACATGGGTCCCCTACGGAAAGACTAATATGGTAATTAAAAAAAAGGTAGCAGACAGGAAAGAAGTCCCTAAAGATAAATTGCTTTCTGTTCATAAACTATCAACTGGACTAGGCGGCCAGTAAAAAATAACAAAATTGTTGTAGATTTTAATAAATGTACAAACATACATACGAGGCAGTACGCGCAAGGTTTCTGACATATGCTACAGCAATGTCAAAGGGCAGAATTCCAATTTTGACCTGGTTTTCATCTGGTACTAACCAACTGCTATTAGAGCCTTCAAAGAGCTCGTTTTGCAAATTAAAGATTTACATATATGTTATTTGCGAAACAGCGCACTTCTGACCTTTTGGCTCAAACTCTTTATTAAAAAGTCATCACTGCATTGAGTTGTATCTACAAAAAGTGTTATAGAATCGGAAGAAATAAGTTACATATCATTAGAGTCTTCAAAGAGCTCGTTTCGCAAATTACAGATTTACATATCTAATTTGCAAAACGGCGCACTTCTGACCTTTTGGCTCAAACTCTATATTTACAAACCATCACTGCATTGAGTTGTATCTACAAAAAGTGTTATAGAATCAGAAGAAATGTTACATATCATTAGAGTCTTCAAAGAGCTCGTTTTGCAAATTACAGATTTACATATCTTTAATTTGCGAAATGGCGCACTTCTGAACTTTTGGCTCAAAGTCTTTATTTATAAATCATCACTGCATCGAGTTGTATCTACGAATTGTGTTTACGAATCAAAAGATATAAGTTATATATCGCTAGAGTCTTTGAAGAGCCTGTTTTGCAAAATACAGTACGTGTTTACTCGTTTCGTTTCGTTTCGCAAAATACAGTAAGCCGTCACTAATGCATTTAAATTTGGTTATGTGCATTTTGATTTTCAACCTTGCAATCACAAGAGTTTGTAACTTATCACTTAGGTGATATTTAGAGTTTTTCTTGAAAATACCTTGTAAAAGGAGCTGACAAGAAGTAATTTGGCAATGCTACAAAATAACAAGGCATTAATGTGAGATACTAATCTCACATACTAATACTAATCCATCACTATATTCATTTAAATTATTAGGAAGAAGATTTATTCAAATGGGAGCAAACATCTTATCCTGAAGTAGAAACTATCACTAAAGCCATTGAGCCTTACCAAAAGCTGTTTACAACAACTGTAAAATGGCAAAGAGCTGAGAAAAAATGGATGGATGGAGCCTTTCTTGAACTGAATGCGGAAGCCACAGAGGCAGAGGTATGGAGGCAGTTAAAGCAGAGACTTAAACTCCTATGGCCTGGTACAGAGAATGAATCCCTGAAACAACACCACCACAAATGAATTTTAAAAAGTCAGAACTTTATAATGGTTTCCAAATTTGAATTTTGTAACTGGTACATTTATACTGAATGTTTTCTTCTGTAAAGAGGGAAAAGATAGGGAAAAGATAGAAAAAAGGGCTAAACCTTTTCCACTTTCATGGCTCACCAAACTATTATTAATGGTCGGGGAATTTTTCCCAGTTATGTAAATCAAACTAATCAAGTGGATTATCACTTCCTGTTGTAGGGTAATGAAGGTGCTCAAATAGATAAAAATTAAGCTTTCCATTGATTGGGGTAATCAACTAGTTTAAGGAGGAGCTCAGTCCCTACTGATAGATACTAGAGCCATATTTAATGGAATCTACTTGCAAATGTAGATAAATCTTAGTTTATAGAACTTAAAATTGGCATCAAACTCCTTCATTACTTCAGTGTGGCTGCTTTATGATGTGTCAAATGATGAGTGATATGATGGGAAAAAGTGTTTAATGTTTACCATCTTCTCAAAGATCATGTGTTGATAAATAAATGATTATTTTTAATGTGCTGAAAAAAGGCAAATAGCATCCTACTTTTGGACAGATTTCTATGATCTCTGAATGTTCTGCATGTGGATATGCTGCCTCAGAAGAATTAGTGATGTCCTTTAACATCAAATTACTATAGAAGTTGTTCAGAAATTCACAAAGGATGCATAGCAAATCCTGTCACTTGTTGGGCACACATTACTTTTACACATTACTCTTGTTACTTTTTACCTTTTAGGTTGAGGAATATGGTCGTGAGATGTACAAAATTACAAAAGTGTTCCAATCAATGAAGAAAGAGGCGGAGAAAGAAAAGAAAGGTAACAGAAGAGTTAAGGATTCCAAGGAGAAAGAGGAGCCAGGATCAGAAATTGCTGCTTTAGTAGTTTCTCATGCAGTACAGCAACAGATCAGGGAATTCAAGGTAAACTATTATGACTGCTGTTTTAAATTATTTTGTGGAATAATTCATGGAAAGGGACCTAACAAAGATTTTGTTCCTCTAAAATAAATCATTGCTTTATATATCCTTCTGTTTGGCTTGCCCTTGCAGAAAACCTGTTTAAAATAATAATTTTATCAAAGTTTTATCCATTCTTTATGTTGCAACTGAGGAATATTAGATAAATTGCTTTTTGCACTACTTGAACTGGGAAAAATAGGCTTGAATGGGGATAGCTGTCCTGCCACAGAGACCCTTTGCTACCAAAAAAATTACTTTCCATGCCATACTAATGTGTATGTTTTTACTGATATATATTTTTACAGAAAATGTGTTGCTAACAGTGAGGTCCTTCTTTATTGAATGATCATTACTTGTTGTTTATTCAGGATCACATTCCTGTTGTAAGTGTTATGTGTAACCCTGGAATTCGTTCTCGGCATTGGAAGGCTATGTCAGACATCATTGGATTTGATATCACTCCAGACTCTGGAAGCACATTACGCAAGGTCCTCAAATTCAATTTAAAGCCATTCATGAATGAGTTTGAGGGCATCAGTGCAGGGGCTAGCAAGGTAAGACAAAATACTCTAAAATTAACAGTATTTTTACTAGGTTGATTCTTTCATTGTAAAAGGCTGGCTGGATTTTCACAGCCAGTGTTTATGGTACTTTCCTTATTAAGGCTTTGATTCTATTAGATGTTAAAGGTAAGAATTGGTCTGTGCTTAGCAGGGAATTATTTCAAAAACTGGTTAAACAGACACGCCATCGTGTGTGTATGTTGACATGCAAGATATAAACATGACATCTGCCAATTTGTGACGTGTGTAGCACACTGTATAATAATATGTGTATCATGAGAAACTCCATGTTTTCTTGTGGAAAGTCACAATGTCACTTACAAAATCTTACAAATTGGTTTGGCCAAAATACAGAATCCAAAGTGTGGCGTGTGACATGAGGAATTTGGAATCAACAAGAACTAAGAAAGTTTAGGAAGAATTCAAATATATGATATTCCCATATTCACAGTCATTAGTAGATTTTTACTATATAAATACTTATGAAAGACCAGGTGAGCTTCCTCACAAAAATGTGATATCCTCACTCATGAAAATAACATGTCAGCTATGGTTACATAATTAATCGTGACTTTGTTAGCGAAATTAAAATGGCTTGGTTTTTCACAGGTGTTAATTTGTACAATCAATGGAATATTATATTATTTATTTGTTTGTTTATTGTTATTTTATAGAACATTACAATCAAATTTACACAACCCACATATGGCATTAGCTATTCTTGGCGGGTAGTAGTAATAAATAAGTAAATAATACACATTGCAAGCTAAAGAAGTTTCATTACCACAATTAACTAAAGAGATTTTACAATAAACTAAAGAGATTTCATCTACAATATTATAGGGGTTATAAGCCATGCATTAGTTTACTACGTTATAAGCTAAAAGATATGTACAGTTGTCATACAAATTAAATACAATAAAATTACTAGTGAGTTAAAACAAGACATAATAATCAAATACAGGCAGAGCAGACTGGAAAGTAGAGAAGAGAGAATTGTGATATACGGTTGTGAGCGAAGTACTACAGTTATAATTTTCAATAATCATTGTTATTGAATTTCAATATTAGTGAATGGGCGTCAACATAATAATCCTCAATCCCAAGTATAGTCAAAAGCAACTTATGAATTTTCCTTTTAACTGCTCTTTTCGTGAGCTTACATGAGTCAGGGTTTAGACAGTTCCATAATCTCGTACCAAAGGCAGAGAAAGACTTAAATTTCACATGCAATCTTGATTTCTGTACATAAAAATTCTCTGTGGAAGAAAAACACGTGTTATATGTATGGAAGTCAGATGAATTAATAAAAAGTTCGTGAATATTCCTAGGTGTAGAGCTAGTAAAAAAGTCTTGCATTATGGCAGAAATGGTTTCAAAATAGAGCATATTAATGGGTAGGATACTCAAAGTTATAAAAAGAGGGATAGCATGAGATATTTTGCTGGAGAAGAAAATCAATCGGAGTGCATGCTTTTGTAGGGTGAGAATCTTTTTTAAATCACTCTGAGCTGCCCGGCCCCAAGCAGCTATACTGTAGCACGTGTAGGGAAAAATCAGCGAATGGTAAATTTGAAGAAGGGTATTTAAAGGTACATAATGTCTAAGCCTAGCAATTATACCGACTATTTTGCTAATCTTCAAAGCAATACGATCAATATGAGGCCTCCAGGTTAAGTTCTTGTCAATTAGTACACCCAAAAATTTTACATAATCTTTGCATTCAAGAAGTGTGAATCCATTGTTGTTGTTATCTAGAATTCTGATACATAGCTGATGATTATTTCTTTTTTGTGCTGGCCTAAAAACGACAAAATTTGATTTCTTCACATTAATGGTTAGTTTATTAGCATTAAGCCAATCACAAACATTTTTTAGCTCATTATTAACTACAGTTTCCAGGGATTTCAAGTCCTTGTCAGTATATAACAGGTTTGTGTCATCAGCAAAAAGATAAAAGCCAAGTTTATTGCTACAAAGATGAATGTCATTAATATAAATCAAGAAAATATATATGGCTCTGCAGAGATTCAAAATTTGTCTTTGAGTGTGTTATATCCTCTGTGTGATGTAAAATAAGATTGAGAATTTGCTAGTCTCATTTCTTTTACATAGCTGTTGCAGTCAAATTTGAAAAGAACCAGTTAGTTGACAGAGTTATCAGATCACGGCATTTTCTATATAGTATTGAGAGATAGTGTTTAGTTGGCCTACACCTCAAAAGTGATGAAAAATTGTAAGAATTGAAATGTTAAGAAGTTTTGAATGCAGTAAGCTTATTTCAGTCTGTGCATTTTAGGAATTTTCATTGGAGAAAGCCATGCAGAAGATGGTAGATGAATGGGACAGTGTTTTGTTTAATACCACTGAATATCGAGATACTGGCGTGTCTATCCTGGCTGCTGTTGATGAAATACAGACCACACTTGATGATCAAATTGTTAAGACCCAGACCATGAGAGGATCTCCCTTCATCAAACCATTTGAGGCAGAAATAAAGGTCACTGTCCATAATATGTCAGTCAACAGCATTATATTATCTCCAGACTTCTCTCTTGTAATTTATTTGTTCTGTATTTACATTGTGTAATCTCTAATCACAGAAATCTGTTAATTCCATATGCTATTATATTACACCCCAAGTTGATAGGAGGCAAATTTCCTTTTCATCCTTAAATCAATTTCCACCTTAAAACTTTCTTAATATTCAATAGATATTTACTATAATCACATGTCATATTTCATGGTTGTAGGCATGGGAAGAACGCCTCTTGAAGATGCAGGAAATAATTGATGAGTGGCTTAAAGTTCAAGCACAGTGGCTTTACTTGGAGCCTATCTTCAGTTCTGAAGATATTATGCAGCAGATGCCAGAGGAAGGACGCAAGTTCAAGACTGTTGACAGGAACTGGAGGGACATTATGAATTATGTGTGCAAAGATCCCAAGGTAGACAACATGTGATATCTAGTTTAGTTAAGTTACATTTTTATTCCATGTTTTTGGGTTTCAGGTTGGATATGTGCATGTAAAAGTATTTTTTCTTGTATTATTGCCTTTTAAATGATATGGTATTCCATAAATATTTTAGAGCATCTAAATACATTCTAGAAAAAATTGCTACCAAGAGTAACTCTTCATGCAATTTGGCGACTGTTAATGGGTCACTTGAAGAAATCTAGGAAGTCAAAACTTTTGCTTTGGTTATATGATCAGTTGCTCACTTTCAACTGGTTGAAGCAACTCTAGCCTAAATTATAGTTGTTATTACATGATATGATTGCTCAGTTTTGTTTTAGTGCTGGAGCACTTTTATATTAAGTGGTCACATAGTCGTAATATTGCACTATTATGATTTGTAGGTGCTTTCAGCCACATCGATGCCAAGTATGTATGAAAGATTGAAAGACAGCAATGACTTACTTGACCAGATTAACAAAGGATTAAATGCCTATTTGGAAAAGAAAAGAATTTTCTTCTCCAGGTTAGCCAGGCTCAACAACCAATGCACAATATTTGTTTACAAATAATTTTGTTGAAATATATAAATTATGCAAGTTGAGGAGGTGGATAATACAACATTCTGCAAAGCTCCAAGATATCAAGATAAATACAAAAATATCCATAAAGCTTCCTTGGGAAACTTTTTTTTTACCTGCACAGAATCCTGCACTCATAGTAAGCTCCTTTATACTTAACAATTTTAAGAAACTTGCAAAACCAGAGTCTTATCACTAAAAATGTGTTGGGAGATTTTGTTGTTCTAATTGACTGTGGAAAGTAGTCAGTGATTGCATTGGTTTGCTTAAGTATGTTCTGTTTTGGTCTGAAGAAACCAACCTTTTATTAGAACAGCAGTATGTACTGGCTTTATGAAACATGAGTAATTCAAAATGACTATCTTTCTGGTGAAACCTCATCCTTTTTCTGTTACTAAATAAGTGATTTAACTATGCTGTAGCTTTTATTTTTTATTGGAACATTAATTCCTCACTTACAGTATTTGTATGTAGCAGCTCATATCTGATAATTGTTTATCTGCTTTACATATATATATTTAATTTAACATGTTTTTTGGAAGGTAGTAATGGTCAAAAATGGTCCATGGAAATGCTAAAAAATGTTCCTGAATTTTTAAAACATTTTACTCTGATTTTTCCAACAGATTTTTCTTTTTGTCGAATGATGAGATGCTGGAGATTTTGTCAGAAACAAAGGATCCTTACAGAGTTCAGCCTCATCTAAAGAAATGCTTTGAGGGGATTGCAAAGTTAGAATTTACATCTGCCTTGGATATTACACATATGTACAGTAGTGAGGGAGAAAAGGTACAATATATGTATTTTCTTTAAAAATATACTACATACACTATATTCATATTTCAGGAGTGTGAGAAGGTTGTGTCTATATGGTTTATTGTGCTACACATATGTTGATATAATCCAATTAATCATCCGAAGTATAATTATGTAGCTGCTGCCTTTCACAGCTGGTAAAGATTGTTTTGTTCCTTATATGTACAGTGCTTTTCATTAGGTTCCCCTCAGTGATACAATATCTACATCAGAAGCACGAGGTGCAGTAGAAAAGTGGTTGCTTCAGGTCCAGGATATCATGCTTGTCAGTATCCATGACATCATTGAACGAGCTGTACAGGTATTCTCCACTTTGTGTTAAATGTGAATTTTGGTTTGTGTTTAATCGCCATTTACTTGCAACTATAGAACTTTTTTTAACATTCCAAACATTCCTATTATTTTAAAGGCATATGTAACAGATGACAGGAAAGTGTGGGTATTGAGTTGGCCTGGACAGGTTAGATGAAAAAAACTCTATAATTGTCATTTTTAGCTGGGTTTTGAGTTCTTGACATTGAATTTTCTAATCTAGGATTAAAATTCATTAGAAGTTTTCTATTTCCCCTGGAGTTGAACATTTTTATGGTTATTGTGATATATAAAAAGAAGCTCTGAACTCTGAGAGCATCTTTCCAACCACAGATACATTGTTTAAATGTGTATCAGTAAACTGTAAGGGAAACCTGATGAACCGTCAAGGCAAGAAGCAAATGAGCTCTGTTTTATCATACCAAATGCTGTCTGCCACTAGCACTTATGTGTTTAAGTCATGCTTATTAATATTCTAAACCCCAAACCTAACATAACAAAGTACATGATTTATATAAATCATCAAAATATTTATGTAATCTAATTAATGTTGATACACTTCTTTTATTCAGACAGCTCATTTTTCAAAAATATTAGATGGGATAAGTAATGCTCCCGATAAAACTGCATGATATGTATGATTAGGAGGGGTCATTTGAAAAAGTATGTTCATTGTGTACTCTAGTGTTTGATAGAAATAATCAATTATTGTATTTCAATATTGGAAACTGTTTACAATTTATCTCTTTTAGCACTAAACACTTTAAATCATTCTGTCTGATTTTTGTTGTAGATTGTTATCTGTGTGAGCCAGATATATTGGACTCGAGAGGTGCATGAAGCAATTCGCTCTGGACCCCATGGACTGAAAGAATACCACGAGAAACTCACCCAACAAGTAAAACTACACCTATATAGTTATGAGAGACAAATCAATTGAACACTAATGCAGCAAAATACATATTTGCTATACATTGAAACTTTTATTTAGGAGATACAAGGCTTGGCAGAGTGGTTCCCTGAATAGAGATCAGTTAGTGTTTATCAATTATCAACCAAAAATGAAAATAACATCTCTTCATGATTTTTCTGATTTAAGGTAGGAGTTTTCATCTCAAGTAACCAAGTGTGGTTAAAAGACCATGATTAACTGTTGGTCACAGGCTATTTGTACTTTGACATTCCCTTGATATATCCATTTGTCACTTGTGACCATAAACTGCTTTTGACAAAACTCTTGAAGAGGACATTTCAACTGTCAACATTAGGCAATGAAGTTTCTCTTTTATCAACTGATGTATGCAATTGGAAAGGTTATGTTCTGGAAAGTTTTGCTATTCTAATTAAGGCACATTTAGTCTTAATAACCCTTAGTGGGGGCAGTCACATTTTGACTTGTTGAGGCCAATGTCCCCTGAATGGAGTTGGTCATCAATAGAATGTCGTAACATATATAAATACTAATACCAATACCAATACCAATACCAATACCAATACTAATACAAATACAAATAGAAATAGAAATAGAAATAGAAATAGAAATACAAATACAAAGACAAAGACAAAGACAAAGACAAATACAAATACAAATACAAATACAAAACAAATACAAAAACAAGTACAAAAACAAACAAGTACAAATACAGAAACAAAAACAAGTACAAGTATAAATACAAATGCTAAAACAAAAACAAATACACATGCTTATACAAAAACAAATACAAGTATAAATACAAATACCAAAAAAGAAGAAATACAAAAGCAAAAACAAATACAAATACAAAAATAAGTACAAAAATAAATACATTACAAATACAGAAACCACCACAAAAACAAATACAAAAAACAAATATAAATGCAGAAAATTAAATTACCTAGACAAATAGAGATACCTTAACAAAAAAACAAGTACAAATACTAACACAATTACAAATACAAATTCAAATAAAAAAACAAAATAAAAAAACAAAATAAAAATATAGAAAACATACACAAATAAAAATACAAAAACAAATATAAGCAGAAATAACAATAATGATAATAATAATAATAATAATAATAATAATAGTAATAATAAAGAGTATTTCTATAGCACACAACTCCAATAAATTGCCCGTGGCGCTTTACAACAAATAAAAATAAGTTATAAACAAACTACATTTAGTAACAAACATTTTAAAAAGATAAGTTTTCAAAACGCTTTTTAAAATGTCAACAGAAGAACTCCTACATATTGAAAGAGGCAAAGAGTTCCACAATCTAGGAGCACATACTGCAAACAATCGATCTCCATAAATTTGCATTTTTGAAGATGGCTCTACAAGGTTACCATTACTAACAGATCACAAAGAATAAGAGCTCCTAAGATAAGTTAAAAGATCAGACAAATTCGAGGGGGCCTTACCATTAAAAGATTTATAAACTAAAAGAAGAATCTTAAAAACAATACAATGCCTAATGGGAAGCCAATGTAGATCAATTAAAGTCGGAGTAACACGATCGAACTTCCTAGTCATACAAACTAGACACAGCAGAGTTCTGAACAGATTGTAATTTAGCAATAAGGAACTTAGGAGGTCCATAAAGTAGAGAGTTATAATAGTCAAATTTAGAGGTGACAAAAGCATGAACAACCATTTCAGTGGTTTTGTGGGTCAAATACTTTCTAATTCTCGAAACATTCCTAAGATGATAAAAGGAAGACTTGCAAACATCAGAAATATGTGATTTAAAAGACATAGTATCATCGAAAACAACGCTAAGATAATCAGTTAACTGTGAGGTGACAGCTTTCTCAATGAGCTTAGAAATAAGCTCATTGACATATGTAACTACAAATACAAAAGCAGAACGTACAAGTATAAAGATAAAAAAATACAAATACATAAAGCAAACACAAATACAAAAACCAATTACAAAAACAAATACAAATACGAGGATAAATACAAATACAAAAACAAGTATAAAAACAAATATAGAAAAAGGGAAATACAAATACAAAAAGCAAATACAAATACAATAACATGAAAAAAACAAATACAAATACAAGTATTAAATGCAAATACTAATACAAATACAAATAAAAGTACAAGCAAATACATATACAAAAACAAGCACAAATAGAAATTTGTAACACCAGTGCAAAGTTGTAACAGGAGTGCAAATTTCCAATAGCGGGCGCATTGTCTGTTTCATCTGTCTTGAATTTCTGTGATGTTTTTTTTTTCATGCAAATTATTATTAAGAAAAACATGAGTTCTCATGCAATTTGGTATAAATTGAACTCAAATTGCCCTTGTCCTTTGGGTGAGTGCAGTATTTTGACATTCCGTTTGCTTTTCGCTCTTGATCATTTTGACCTATTTGTAGTTAATAATAATCATTGAAAAAGCCAAGGAAAAAATGATATTTCAAAGTTGATATTAGTAAAAATAGACTACTTATGGTGAAAGGAAAGGGTGTGCCAATTAGAAATAGAAACTTCTTTTTCTGGAATTTGCATTCTGTGATGTTTCTGGTCTTTAGTTCTGTACAATCTGAAAATGGCAATTTATCTAATAAAAAAGGTGATGTGTCATCTAAGCAAAGAAGCATAGCTATTTTTCAAAAGCTGATCACTTAATCTGTTCAAGTGCAGCAGTATAGAAATAAATTTAAGTGAATTTATTTAGCTTTCAGACATTGTGGTCCTTGTTCGTGGTAAGCTTTCAAAGCAGAACAGGACCACCCTGGGAGCTCTTGTAGTAATTGATGTTCATGCAAGAGATGTGGTACATGATATGGTAGAGAAAGGTATTAGTTTATGATTTTCCTTGAGTAATTTGCTAATTTTGAGAATCAGTGTATACTATGTCAGTGCTTGTATTACTAATGTATACTTATGTGTGAGGGTTGTTAATTATTCATATGTTGGTAGTATTTTGTAATGAACAAAAGCAAGTCCCTAGACATGGAAATCAAAGATAAAGATATGCCCCACAAACATTGTCTTCCAATCATTGATATTAATCGATACTGACAAATAAAAGTTTTGGTGAAGTGGTAGACATGTCTTCTGATGAAAATTGTGAAATGAACATCAGTTATGGTTTACAATTTAGTCTTTCAGTAGCCAGACTGGTTGATTATCACACAGGCATGAGTTCTGAGTAAATTTTTCTACATATAATTATCTTGAATATGAGAGTAATGATTATCAACAAGACTTAAACCCATTGTCATGAGGTTTTCAAATGTGGCAGGTGTCTCTCAGGAGAATGACTTTCAGTGGTTATGCCAGATGCGCTATTACTGGGAACAGGACAAATGTCTAGTGAGAATCATAAATGCAACTGTACGGTATGGTTACGAGTACTTGGGCAACTCTGGCAGGTACAAACAATGTCTTCTATAATTCAGATATTTTTAGTTACTTGTCATAGTCTGCTTTACACCACATGAACAAAATGATATTAATCATGGATTTTTTCTCATAGGCTCGTCATTACACCACTGACAGACCGTTGTTACCGTACGCTTGTGAGTGCTTTTCACCTGAACCTTGGAGGAGCGCCAGAGGGTCCAGCTGGTACTGGCAAGACAGAGACAACCAAGGTATAACTGAAGTATTAAACACTGTTTTACCATCAATAATACTATGTTTGATCCTCATGCTAACTAATATTTTTTCCATTATCTATTTATTTTCTTCATGTAGGACTTAGCAAAAGCCCTTGCAATACAGTGTGTAGTGTTCAACTGCTCTGATGGCTTGGACTACTTACAAATGGGCAAAGTATGTTAATAATGTCTTCTTGTCTTATTTTTCATAGTTTTTCCTCGGACTGATATTTTCTCTCTTTTAAAGTTTTTTAAAGGGTTGGCATCCTGTGGTGCATGGGCATGTTTTGATGAATTTAATCGCATTGAGTTGGAAGTGCTCTCAGTGGTAGCTCAACAGGTATTACTATTATTATATACATGTCTTCAATTACTTAAATAATGCATAAGCTGTACTGTTAAGAATATTAATGATGGGGCTGTCGCAGCTGCTTGTGGTTATGTTTGTACATCTGTACCCCCCCCCCAATGAAATAAATTGATGTGTTCTCAGACCACTACTACATCAGTTCTCTTTATGTATAGATAAGTTACAATGTGAGTATTATAAAATATATTTGCTTTCTGGTGTTCCATTGTTGTAATTGGTTTGTTTTCTCTTAATTTATCCACATACAGTAGTAATTCAAAATTTTCCTATGTTGTTGCCGTTGTCTTTTTCAAGTAATTAATCTCAAAAGTTTTTTCTTTCTAGATTTTGTGCATTCAGCGTGGTATAGCTGCTCATCAAGACAAGTTTGTGTTTGAAGGAACAGAACTGAACCTTAACTCAAACTGTTTTGTGGCAATCACTATGAATCCTGGGTATGCAGGGAGATCAGAACTGCCTGACAACCTCAAGGTATAATACAGTGTTCACTTGGTCTCTTGAAGTATGCGTAATAAGTTCATAGTTCAATGATGATGGTGATGATGATGGCATTGACAAAAGTGAGGGTTTTAATGATGGTGAAACAGTAAAACATGCTTTAAGAAGACACCCATGTGACTCTTACTCAATTACTTACTTAATTTTTAGATGGATCTAAAGCATGTAGGAATTATGCTTTTGTCTAAGTGCTCAGACAGAAATTTCATTAGCCTCTACATTTTCTGAAATCTTTCTTTATTTTGTAAGAGTAATATAAAGCTCAAGGCATGGATTATGGTTTTGCTGTTGTGTCGTTTTTTAAACTTTTGCATGATATGTTAGTTACTGTTTTTGGTGTTAATGGCATTGAGACAAAAGCGAGAAATTACCAAATTCTCTCAGCTGGAAGGAAGAAACTCCATTTCTTGATGTGCAATTTGACACATATTACATGACATCTCATGGTGCTGTCTTGCTGGAATCATGAGATTATTTCATTATAGAGTAAGCACATGTTGCCATATTTACATATTTATATCAAATTGTTTGGAAAGAGAATTTGTGATTGACTATTTTTCATTTTTTGTTTTGTGATTTCTTAGTGAATTCAGAGACCAAAATAATGATTGATACTGGCTCCCAAAATGTAGCCAAGGTTAGCTCCCATACCAAAGAATGATGCAAACAACACTGCATAGGGTTGAAAGAAAGCCTGGCAAATGAAACAATAAAGATTGCATCTGTGAACTTTTGTTCTCATTACTTTTTACATCAACATTTTTGCTGTGTGGAGTCTAAGTTCAATTCATTCAAATGTGATCTGACATTTCCTTGTTGGTGGCATTATACACTGAAATGGTGTCCTTTTAGGTGCTGTTTCGTACTGTAGCCATGATGGTACCAGACTATGCATTGATTGGGGAAATCATGTTATACTCCTATGGATTTGTAGATGCCCGCAATCTGTCAGTGAAAATAGTTACCACCTACAAATTGTGCTCAGAGCAGGTAAGTGTAATGTTTATGCATTTTTGACCAGGCATGAGGTAAAGAGGGCTGGACATTTTTATGCACTGAGACGAGGTCAACGTCCATAAAAACATTGAAAAAGAGAGAGGCTAATGTCCAGTCATCTTGACCGAACAAGCTTGGTCAATAAAGGATTTACTATATAGCAAAAAGATTTTGCTTTATTAAGAATCAAAGATGACTGTGTTTGTAGCACAATAAACCTGCAGGAAGGCAGTTTATTTTTTTTTTTATTTTGACTGCCTTCTGCTTCTTTTTTTTCTCCAACTTCATTGCCAACATTGTCAATAAGTTATGAACTTAGTAAGACCTCTTCAGATGGGCTCATCTTGCCCACTGGAGTAGCCAAATAGAACCCAAGATTCAATTCAAATTGCCCATGGGTGGTGCCAGCTATATATTATTAAGTATTATGTGAGATATACACCTAATTGCAATTTAAGGTTGTCATAGAAAAAACCAAAAGCGAAAAGCCAAATAGGAATTAATTAGCTTTGGTCAGATACCTTCCACCTTACAGCCTGGATTTTAATCCGATAGAGGGAAGTTATCACCATGCCAAACACTTCATTCAGGAAAATGACATTGCCTTCCATTGCTGTCTTGAGCCCCATGCTTTTATCTTGCATGCTTTTGCACAACTTTCATCAGAAAACTGCAAAGGGTGTTTCAGAAACTCTGGCTATGAGTGACAATTTGTCTGAAGTAATAATTTTGAACTCTTTCTTTACACACATCGGTGTTTCATGTGTGGAATCTTACAGTGTGGAATTACAGAATTATGTCTTGTTATTGTGAATGACTTCCTAAATAGCTGTTAAATTATGACAACCTTATTGCAATTAGGTGTGTATGCATATGTATAGATATCTAACGATAATGACCTCTGCTCATTTGGTTACAATGTTAGTCATTTTTGGTGACAACAGTTCTTTATGGGACCACTTTCGCTGTTACGCTCAGTTTGAATGTTTAACCTAGATTTCAACCAATTAGAGGAATTATGTTAAAATAAACTGTGGTTTTTGCGTTCAAGTGGATAAATGAATTATTATCTGTTTATCAATAGTTGTCATCCCAGTTCCACTATGACTATGGTATGCGTGCTGTGAAGGCTGTCTTGGCAGCAGCTGGCAATCTGAAACTCAAGTATCCATCAGATGATGAAAATGTCCTGTTACTGCGTTCAATAATGGATGTCAATCTACCAAAGTTTCTCTCTCATGACATTCCATTATTTGAAGGGATCATTTCTGACCTTTTCCCTGGGGTATCTCTCCCTAAAGCTGATTATGGCACCTTCCTTGAGACTGCAAAAGAGGTTAGTCTGTTGAAAAATCATGTTACAAGAATCATATGATCGTTAGGCTTCCTTCATTGCTTCATTTGTTTTTCTTTTTGGTCTCTAAGATTGAATGGTTATTGTCATTAAACTTGTCATTTGTCTCTCTGAATATTAGCTTTCCTCTTTATTTTTAGATATGTGACAAGAAAAATCTCCAAATGGTGAATTTCTTCAGTGAAAAGATTATCCAAACTTATGAAATGATGATTGTTCGTCATGGGTAAGAAGTGAATTTTCTGGATCAGTTGTTCTAGCATTAAACTTGTTTAAAAAACCCATGGAAAATTGCACATACATTTATAGATACCCTATGCAAATATTTAATCATCTTTATCTCATAGCTTCATGATGGTGGGTGATCCATTTTCTGGGAAGACACAAGTACTACAAGTACTGGCTGAGACATTAAATGTACTAACAGATAGAGGTTATGAGGATGAAAATGTTAACAAGGTAATCTGTCAATTAGAAATATATAAAGTTGCCAACCTTATATAATGGAATTTATTAAAAACTGGATCATTGGATAATGCAATTCAAGACTTTTTATTGGCTTAGCCATTATGGTATATGAGCCAATATACCATAATCTAATATCTGTACATTGTAACATCTGGTTTTTTCTTACAAAATAAAGTTGAGAAGATATGTCTAATATCTTGGAGGCGTTTTTTTTAATAAAACAATTATTCCACTTGTGCTTGTTGGATATGGGATGATTATAGCCAACTCAGCGCTATGCGCCTCATTGGCTATCTATTATGTCATATCCAACGTGTGCTCGAGGAATAATTGTTAAATATCTAGCTGAGTCTTAATGTGAAGAATCAAGCATTTCTTATACAAACTGAATGAATTGAGGTATTGTTTCCTTTGCTAAAATTTTAAGAGTGAACTGCATTTTCTTCTTGAACAAACTTCTTTAGTATGTTTCAGTGTAGTATATATTGTCAGTAACACCTTAAAATAAGACACATTTCTTTTTCAACATTGCAAAGTGTATGTGGAGGTATACACATACTTACTGAACTGTGTGTGGTCACTTGTGCTTTAGGTCCTGAATTGATCAGAAGTTATGTGCACATTTTTTTTTGTAATAGTGATGTTCAGAATTGAATTAATTGAGACTTGCTGGCAAAGTTAACTGCTTGTACAGTGTGCATAGGTACACTTGGCCACCATACATGTATTAACGTGCCTATACTGATGATGCAATATCTGTTTACATGTAAGGTTTGGTTTCGTGTCATAAACCCTAAAGCTATCACTATGGGACAATTGTTTGGCCAATTTGACCCAGTTTCACATGAGGTGAGTGGTGTAGTTTCTGTTGTCTCCAGCATAAATTAAACTTACTGGTATGATAAATTGAAATTATGAATGTTAAATCTAAATAATTCTGAAAGCCTTCAAATTTGAACCTGTTATTTCCTTTCATGATCAAATTCTGTTTCTTTCATATGCCACAATCATAATGGTCTCTGCCCTATTTATTCCAATCCACCCAAAAACCATGATAAGTACAAACCAATTGAAAGTAGATACAGAAGATAATCCTATTGAGAAAATGAAAGGCATAGATCAGTTTGATTAGATTTAGCTGGAATTCCTGTAAAAGTCTCTAAAACCCTTTTTTTTTTGCTAGTCCTTTTTTCCTCAGAGAATTGTTAATCAACTTTTTTGTTTTACTTCTCTCATAGTGGACGGATGGTATTGTCGCAAACACTTTCCGCGAGTATGCAGCTGATCAAACTGATATAAAGAAATGGGTTATTTTCGATGGCCCCATTGACACCTTATGGATTGAGAGCATGAACACTGTTCTAGATGACAACAAAAAGGTTTGTGTTGAAACTTACCTCCACAGGAACAACACTTTATTCAATCATGAGTATATATTCAATATATCAATAATATAATGAACTTTTCTTTGTTCATACCTCTTTTATTTTGTTTCCTTAGCTGTGTTTGATGAGTGGAGAGATTATACAGTTGTCAAATGTCATGAGCTTGATTTTTGAATGCAGGGACTTATCTCAGGCTTCTGTAAGTATCAGTGAAGATAAAAAGATGAGCAGGTGACTTTATTAGCCTTGATTCTGAACAGTGATTTATTTCTGGAAGTCTTACCATGGTTTTTGCAGGCAAAGGAACAAAGTTTGCATGAGTTTCAGAGTATGATTTGTTAAATTTTGGATAGAGGTACAGTTAGCTACCATGGTTTTGGCAGGTAAAGGGGCAAGTTTTATGTGCTATTGTTTAAGCTTGACACAGATATTTCAATATTGAATAATTCTTCCATTTGTGCAGCCTGCCACTGTGAGCCGCTGTGGTATGATCTACCTGGAGCCAGCTTCTTTAGGCTGGGAACCTGTGCTTCAATCCTGGTGTAACACCTTGCCTGAGGTCCTTAACAATGAAAACAGAAAACTTATTTTGGCTCTCTTCCACTGGGCTTTGCCAGCTGGCATCAGTTTTGTTCGCAAGAATTGCAAGGTGAGTTTCATGTGTTTTTTGGCTTAATTGGCTTCAAAATTTCCATGGAAATTTAACCTTATGATACATTTTTTTGAGTGAGGTCATGATCCTGAATGCAATACAAAGAAAAAATAAAAATGAGCTATTTAGAAGAATTTCTTTTTAAAAAAATAGTTCAAAATGAAACTAGCCTGACTTAATTCTAACTTAATTTTTCCAACTTTCAATACATGTAACCCTGCAAACCTTGTCTTCCTGTTCTTCCTCTTTTTTTAGCTTTAATATTAACAGAATTAGAGAAATTTGAATTTTCCTCTGAGAGTTTGTACTGTGTAATGTATAGGAACCTATATCCATGCAAGACAGTAATCTAGCACGTTCTCTGATGAACCTGGTGGAAATCCTAATGAAGGATATTCCAGAGGAGGATAACAAATATGCAAAATCCTGGTTGATCGTAAGTCTTCCTTTCAATTTCTTTTAAAATTTTGAAGAATGCAAAAAACATTTTGCAACTCACCAAGTATCCTTGCACATTATATTTGAAACTTTTATTATGCTCTATAAAAAAATCTGCTTAGGGTCTTGAGCATGGTCACTTGGCTGAAGAAAGGGCCAGTACACAAGACTGACTGAAGCTACAGTTTTTTTGCACTTGGGTAGACCTAATTTGCTAAATCACATTTGTATTTTCTCCTTACAATGATTTGAATTATACTGATGCAAGTTTTGTGTTTAGAATTGTATCATTAACTCAGACAATGTGCTGTCTGCAAACTGTTTGTAATTTAGCTGGCACTTAGAGATTCAAAGTCAGAAATTTTTTTTGACACAAAACATTAACCACCTCTGAAAGAACAGATTTATTTTTAACTTTTTGAAATTAGTTACATTTAATTCTGTAAGTTCTTCAAAACTGCACCTCCTACAGAAAATTGGCCTGTGAATTAATTCTGTAAAATAATTAATGCAACTGTTATTGATCAGGAACAGTTTTACACTTTACATGCCTTGAGTTAAAAACCATCTGTGACTTGGCAAGTCAGTTCACATGGAGTAATCAGCATTTTGATTATTATTAGATTCACCAATTCAGTTTGCTTGGTGAAGAATTTTGTCAGAATGCCAGAGTTTTAACATGAAAACACATTTGCCAAGTAGTTGCAAATCAGTAAATTTGCCTAATTGCAGTCAGACAACATGATGAATGGAGCTACTTTTATCCCTAAAATTTGTTAAGTTTTTGGGTTGCAGAAGAGTACATACACAAGATGGCGGGTCAACAGCAAGATTACATTGATAAGAGCACATGGTAACATTACCACTGCAAACTACATGGGCTCACAACAAACAGACAGTCAACGATCAGTCAGTACCAACAACAACAATGGATGTTCATTAATAAAGTTCAATGCACATCTCCTTCATCAATCTCTGAGGATGTCTGTGAGAGTGGGATGATCGACGCAGCATAGGACTTGTGGAGGCAGGAGTTGTCTCCAATTGAGCTGAGTTATCAGGTGGATGTGAACTGGTTTCAGGTGAGATAACCGGTTTGGGTTCTAGAACAATTGGGGTTGCCGTCTCCAAGGATGGTACACCAGATTCAGCTGTTGTAGAGTGGGAGTTATTCTGCAAGATGTCATCCACATGTCGCCTCCAAACTCGCCCATCATCAAGGTGAACTTGGCAAGAGTGTAAGAGGGGTGTTGTACCACAGTTCCAGGTTGCTGCCTTTGCCCTGGCAAGTGGTCGTGTGCAAGGACTGTGTCGCCAACAGCAATTTCTGGGAATTTAGCACACTTGTCATGGTGCATCTTCATCCCTACTTGATGATGGGAGACACGAGTGGCAAGGTCCAGCCTCACTAGAAAGAGACGTGTGCAATTCTCTTTGTAGAAACAGTATGGCTGGGGATGAGCTGGTTGTGGCATGCTGGGTGCTTCTGTAAGACAAAAGCAAGTTCTGAATTCTTTGCTCCAGTGTGCAGGGTGGATCAGATGCTGAAGAGTCTAGAGAGCACTTGAAGGTTTGCACAAACCACTCAGTTAGACCATGCTGAAGAGTCTAGAGAGCACTTGAAGGTTTGCACAAACCACTCAGTTAGACCATTTGAAAATGGATGATATGGGGAGACCAATATCTTCTGGATGCCATTTTGTCTCAAGAATTCCTTGTACTCAGCAGACTGAAATGGTGGGCCATTGTCACTAATGATTTGCTTTGGAAGGCCGTATCTTGCAAAAATGTTGCACATAGCATTGGCTGTTGCTTTGGCGGTGGTGGTTTTCATGGGACCGATCACTTCTGGCCACTTTGAGTGAGCATCAACTATAATGAGATAGTGGTTGGACTGGTGGGTGGCAAAGTCTACAAGTATGCGCTGCCAAGGAGCTTTAGGCCATGACAAAGGGGAAACTGGTGCTGCTTGTGGGTCCTTTCTGGTTCGGAAACACTCTTTGTACCCACGTTCTCTCTCCACGATGTCACTGTCAATCTCAGGCCACCATACATGACTGCGGGCAGCTGCCATCATGTGTGCGACTCCTGGGTGCACATTGTGTAGCTCAGTTAGAATCTGCCCCTGTAAGAAGAGAGGTATGACGGTTCACAGGCCCCATAACAGACAGCCTTGCTAGAGAGAGAGCTCATCCTTGCGGAGGAAGAATGGCTTGAGCTTAGGAGTGGTGCAGAAAAAGGCAGGCCAACCATTTTGGGTCATTGTGAGAGCCTTTGCTAGGACTGGATTTCTAGCAGTTTGGCGTGCAATTTCTAAGACAGAAACAGGGTGTTTGCATAATTGCACTGCCGGCACCTGCTAGATTTTGTCCTCGATACTGGCATCCTTCCTGTACTGCAGGGGTAGTCTGGACAAGGCATCAGAGCCAGCGACTTAAGCAGAGGGCTTGAATTCAATTTCGTAGTGGTACAATAAGAGGAGCAGGGACCAACGCTGAAGATGCACTGCTGCCAAAACAGGCGTGACAGAGTCTGGTGCAAAGATCTTTAGCAAAGGTTTGTGATAGTTCAAAGTGTGAACTTGTGCCCAAATAGGTACCTCTAGTACTTGGTCACACCAAAAATGATTGCTAGGCCTTCCTTCTATATTTGACTGTAATTCTTCTCAGACGAATTTAAAGACCTTGAGGCATATGCGATTGGTCTCTCATCTCCGTTGGAGAAACTAANTTTTTGCTCTTGTCACTGGAAACATTGAAATTATTCTACTGAAACATGGCGGTCGCACCATGATGTTGTTAGTCCTTGCTCAATTTTTTGGGAATGTCCATAGATTCTTTATATTTTCAGATATACGTACCTAAGTTTTTAACTTTTTTGCACAGACTGGTCACCAGATCACATAACAGAGCCTAGTGTGAATTTGATACATTTCCTTTTGGCTGCTGGGATCAGTTGAGGCCTATGTCACTGAAACATTGAATATTTCCAGAAACCCAGGTCTCCATGATTAATCTTCATTTTAATTTTTTGAGTTATGGAGATTAATTAAACATGAAAACTGGTTTTGTTTATGTTATCTAGAGAAAGGGTCGAGGAAACTGGATTCCATGGACAAAAACCATCAAGGAAGGTGTGGCAGGTGGGAAGGGACAGCAGATAAGTGACATCATTGTCCCTACTATGGACACAGCACGCTATTCATACCTAATGGAAATCATGTTTAACAACAATAAACCCCTCCTTTTTGTTGGTCCAACCGGAACTGGAAAGTCAGTTTATATCAAGGACAAACTCATGAATGGCATCAATAGGGATGTGTTTATTCCTGCCTTTGTAAATTTCTCTGCCCAGACAAGTGCTAATCAAACTCAGGTGAGTAATTTGTTCTTTCATCCATGAAAGTAGGTCGCAAAGTAATTACCGACACACTCAAAACTGTAAAGAATGCAAAGAGGTTTGCAAGAATGATGTGAAGGGCGTTTTGGAAAATTTAAATAGGAGTATGTGCATGGGTAGGTGAAAATTAAGCCCCCCACATCTCAAAATGTTCTGCCACCTCTGCTTCAAGGTTGAACTTTTGCAATTGCATTAATTGGACCAGGTCAAGCTTGTGATTACACAGGGTACATCTCCTTTCCAAAATAGTGGCAAAGAGTGCAACATTTTTTCCCTAATCAACCCATGTATATCGTCTTGTATCCAACTGGAAATTCATTTGAAATTTGTAAGGGTGATCAGGGCAAAGAGGCTTGTTGACATCAACACAAAAAAGTAATCAGGTTGTCACTATTTTGGAATAAGTTCAACCACCAATTTTTTAATTTGGTTTTCAAGTGACAATGGTTGTAGCTATCACAAATAAAAACCTCAGCCTTGATAAATCCAACCATCATGCAAAGACCAAATCCAGTTATTGTTTTTCTTACACATAAATGGTGAGCAATCATTTCTTATTGATCCAACATCACTAGGATATCATCATGTCAAAATTGGACAAGAGGCGAAAAGGTATATTTGGACCACCAGTTGGAAAAAGGTAAGAAAAATTGTATGACAGCTGGTTTATCTCTTTTGTTTAACATACTGCAGTTCAGTGGCTTGCATTTATAACTAAGAATCTCTCGCTTGCTAAAATGATTATCCTTACCAGACTTGGTTATGCACCACCACATCATAGTTTTCATTTCTTAGATTGATAACCAAACAGCTTTTGTTCACTGTTGACTATTTATTGAACAACTGAACTTTCTACTGTGCAGGAAATCTTCAAAACAGCATCAACCATTGGTTTTTAGAATAAGCAAACTTACCCCCTTCCCTCTTTAACCCTTTTATACTTAATAAAATTTCTTCCCAATTCTGACATTTCCCATCTTACACTATATTCCATATGCATTAGATTTCTAACATTGCTCATCTTGAAAAGTCAAATAAAGTTAATTTAAGTCCTCATAGCCTAGAATTTCCCTGACTGAATGAAAGAAATCACCTCATGCACCATTCCTTGAACATAGCACTTTTCTTATCAGCTTTTTTATTCTTTTAAATGTTGACTTCATTTTTACACATTACATGTAGATATGTTATCTGAAATCAAATCTCATTATTTGAAATTAGTGCTGTTACAAAAGTGTAATAAAACATTTGCCTGTGCAAATGTAACACGTAGAAAGTCAATCTATGTAAACAAAAAATAATTATTATGTTACATGTGTGCATT